CAATTAAAGATTACTAAATTGCTACACATGACAGAGTTTTTGAACAAAATCTTTCACTTTAAATTCTAAGATAAAAAATTTATCTCTTCGATTATGTTTTTTTTAACATTTTTAAAATATAAATTCTGATTAAAAATGCTAATAAGTAAGATAAAGTAAAAGGTTACTTAATTCGCAAGAAAAATTATATGGAGTGATTGGTGCTAGTTTTTAATTTAGACAAAGTAAATCAATTCAGAACTAAAGTTATTTTAAAGATTGATAAAAATATGAGCTTAGCTTAAATAGATTATTTGATAATAAGAAAATGTCAAATCAAAACAACACTGTAATGAACTCAAAAAGGATTTTTGTTCGTAAAAATAATTCGACAATACGTAAAAATAATTCAACGTTCGTAAAAATAATTCGATAATAATTTTTCATAATTACACGATAAATTTAAAGTAATTCTAAAAATATATAGTATGTTATACATGTGTCAGGTTTCAATTTTTAAGGGAACTTATTTTAAAAAAAAGACTTTTGATATTTACTTATTTTACATTAAGATACAGTTACACTTCTTTTAGTCTCTTCAAAATGATTTTATTAAAATTTCAAAGAAGTACAAACAATTTCTATCATTATTTAACTTGAAAGAAATACAATTGATCACTCCAAAATGAAAAGCAGATTTGAACCATATCGATGCTAAGTTTATGTAAGCCTTTTCAGTTGTTTGAGCAAAAGAAATTTATTAAGAGGTTTGTTATTTTTTTTAAAAATAAAGCTTTTGGGTTAAAAATGATTTCAATAATATCGACGTTTATAATTTGATGAAAAATTTTGATTAAAAAAACTGGTTCTTTTTTCAAATTATTAATAAATTTTATTCCCAAGTGCGTTTTTTTGTTTGTTCTAGAACTAAAAAAATACATAATTCTTTTGTTTCTTTTTGCTTCAGAATAATAATGGAAATTTGTAGAATTTTCGTAAAAAACAAAATTTTTTTTTAAATACTTATATTTGAAAGTGACTCTTTTTGACCAATTTGTAAACTTCATAATTTTTTCAACGTGCAGATTTTTTTTGCGTCAATTGTCAATTCGAGTTCGTAATTATTTCCATTCCTGTAATTTGTTATATTTAAATCTAAATTAAAAAAAAAACAGAATACTTTGCATTGCTATTTTTATTCATTTTAAGAGGTTCATATTTGGTTTTTAATTATCTGAAAAAAATCATAAATTGTATTTTTCTCTTAAACATCAATATGGTAAGTCATAAGTGTTACTCTTTGCATTTTCTATTAATTATTTTCTTGAACAAAAACTAAACATATTTTGTCTTAATAAAATAAAAAATAAAAAAATTTCTTATGTAACATTTTATTAAAAACAGCAATACAAACGCAAAATATGTTTGATTTAGAATTTAAGAAGAAGTTCTATAAATTAAAGAAATAGGTTTCTTCACAATTGAGAAAAGGTAAAAGTAGAAAGTTTTCATCAGAGTAGCGAAAAGATTTTTAAAAATACCCTATTAAAGAAAGAATTATATTAAGTTTCGCTTTGTGGTTTAATGTAGTATGTCAATCAAAGTTAGAAGGCGAAATATTAAATGACACAAATTTCGTGGAGGTATGAATGAAAAAAATAAATAAATAAGCGTAGTCTGTATTGAATTGTCAAAAGAACTTAGGCGTTGTATTTTATGATTTGATTGAGCGAATGAAAAATGCTGAGGTGGAATAAACTCGAAGATTATTTTTATTTGAAAAGTTAAAGTTCATTCAAATCGGGCACAATATGTTAAATTTTGAGGAAGTTATAGTTATTTTTAACAAAGCGATTGAAATTAATAATTTTTCAAAACACTGCTTTGAAACGAGTTTAAAAGATAATTCGTGGAACAAATGTACCCAAAAGCAGTAAAAGACAGTTTTAAATGTTCTCATGGAAATAAAATATAAAAAAAGGTTAAAAGGCATTTAGTATCTTATTTACAAAAATAAATTCCTCATGGTTTTGAATCTGTTGTCTTCCAACGCTTAAATGAGTACACTGTAAAAAATTCCTGTTCTTTTTACAGACTTTCTCTATATATTTGACTGTTTAAAGCTGTTTAGTTGACAAAACGATTCTTCTCTATTTTTTATCTAAATCATAAACGGATTAAAACCAAGTTCAAGTTCTAGTTTTTGCCGAGCAGTTTTAATTACGGTACGATAACTCTACCTTATTTCAAATCATTTTACGAATCTATACTTGCTCTTATTTTTCAGAAATTATTTTATGATTTTGAACATCATGGAAATAGAGCTACGATTCAATTTTATTGTCAAATTAATACTCTACCTGATTATTATATTTTTTAGATGCAATTTTTGCATAAATTAAGTCACCAGACATTTCTATGCGGGTGGACATCTATAATGCTAAACGTTTTTACACTTAAATATTATTTCGTTAAGTAAATTTTTAAGATAAAAGCAGTTTAATATTTTTTTTAATTCTTAGACACTTGAGCTGTCGTAGGTCAGGAAACAGAGCGATTGCTACCCAGTGAGTTGGCCATGGTTCGAATCAGAGCGTCGACTGATTGTACGAATGAAGCTCTGAGCTCGCCCCTAAAAAAATGCTCACAATTTTTTTAAAGAGTATATTTGTTAAAATAATATAGCTTGCATGTTAAAGTAACAGAATTTGTTAAAATAACAGTACTTATCAACTTGAAAACAGACGTCTGCTTTTAAATAACAGAATTTTTTTGTGAAAAAAAAAACGATTTTATACTCGCACACTAGCTGACATATTTTTACTGTAAAATAAACATATATTTTTTTACAGTATTGGAAAAAATTTGCTTTCTACTGTAAATAAGATTTTTTTGTTAAGATTAGCCTTTAAACGTCGCGTAACTTCTGAGTTTTTCGTCATTTACTTGCCAATGTGCTAGACTAGGCGTCATGTATTTCGTGCCACAGCTTGAAGCCTATCCATTTTAAGACTGATGTGTATCAGCTTGTCTGGGAAGTAAAAGCAGTCAGGATGAAATACTACATACCCACCATCAAACCATTAGTCTCATAATTTACAGCCATATCCCAATGATCTCCTTGGCCAACAACTGGCTGTTGTGAGGAGAAAATTTACAAAACGTATTTTCATAATACTTTTAATGGTTAAACACAAATTTTGATATATTTTATATACTTTTAATGGTTAATACTTTTAATGTACTACTTTTGTGGTGATACTTTTAATGGTTAAACACAAAATTATACAAATGGTATATTTTGCATATAAGTAATGCATGAAAGATAAATTTTTAGATAATTAGGAGCTTCCATATCTAATTTGCAGAGCTCCAAACTTTTATTTGCTCCGAATTCTAATGATCTACACAAAATTTATGTTATATGAATATATGTGATGTAAAACTATGTGTTAAATGATTGTATGATAAAAGATTATATGTTACACCCTTACATAATATAGTAATATTTGTTATATGACCATATTATATAGAATTACATGTTATAACATTATATGATGCAGAATTACATGTCATAAGACTATATGAAATAGAATTTTAAGTTAAAATGATTATAAGATTTAAGAATAATCATTATAATTGAAATTTAATTGAAACCAAAAACCATAAGGAACCTTTTTAAAAAATAATGTATTTTTCAAATAATAAAACCGAATTTGTAAATGTGTTAGAAAATAAATATGATTAAATAAAATTTTTATTAATGTGGGATAGAAACATTTCAAACTAAAAGATTCCATCACTATAGGAATAATTATAACAAGCTGCTGACAAGAAATGATTGATCTATTGTTATCAACTTATTTATAATTGCCACTTATTTACAATTATGCTTATGGGAACGTGTTTTGCATACTTTTCAATATATTAGTTCAATTAAACTTAGTTATACTAGTCAATTAGTTTTATGGATTAATTAAGCCGATTGTGAAGTTCCTCGGTACTTCTGTTAATTGCACCAAAGCCGTTTTTTTCTGTTTTAGTAGTTATCCATCTTACTAATTTTGAATACAAATTAAAGAAAATTATACCTCACTGCCATTTAGAATAATTGTTTAGTTACATCAACTGTTTTTTTCCTGAACTTTGATATTTATTTTTTACATAGTTTCTGTAATGCATTCAATAATTGACTTTCCATCATATGATCTTTCCTATTTTTTTTGCGGTCTAACGAGATTGATATTTTTTAAGTTTCATTATTGTTATTGTTGTCATTATTAGCCAACTTTCACATTTTGTTATGGTTTTTCTTCTCTTTATCGTTCGGGATTTTAATTAAATTCTCAATTTAAGAACAGTTATCGTCTGAAGCAAATGGGAAAAATTTCAGATGATCGTCTACAGATTACTAGATAATCGTCTGAATTATTTTTTTCCCTTTAATTTAAAAAAAAATTGCTGGTCAATGTTTTTTGTATTATTTTTTAATATTTTTTTCATTGTTTGTTTCTTAACAGTGTTCTGGTGAGTTTCTTATCCGGATATTTTATTGATCGGTTCCAATTTAAAAAATTTAAATCCTCCTCTTACTTTTCACCCACTTAGAATGAGATTATCTTGGAGAATAAATTTTTGAATATCTTAAAGATCACATCCTGACACAATTGTGGTTGAAAAGAAATTACTTGTCGAATTTTAAATAAGATTTTAAAAATGTTGTTTGCACATCCCCCTACTCAATAACTTTCTCGCACACTTTTCCATGTCTAGTTGACAGCTTGAGGGGCAGGCGCGGTCAAGCGGAACAATTATCGATAATGCATTGATTAAGAACAGCTAAGGCGGCGGCTGACCTATGTTCACAAAAGAAAACTGCTTCGAAGAAGGGGGGCAGGTAGGGGGAGACATTTTTCTTTATTATTTTATCTTTTGAAACCGTATACCACAATGATTTTTGTATTTTAATATTTATTTGGTTCTTTATGGGTGGTGTTTTCACTAGAGAGATCCAATTTAAATGATTTTTCGTTCCCATTTGTTTATTTATTTAATTATTGGTCTCACTTCTAGTATAAAAGCACTTTCAGAATTCTGAGATATTCACAATTCGATTTATTTTGCTTAGTGTTGTATAACCCAGCAATCGCTCTCTAATAACCATGATCAAGGTACGTTGTTGGATATATCGTTGGATTTGTTTCGTTAATTTGGAGTAAAAATTATCTATAAAGAATAATTCTTTACTATTTTAATATCAGTAAATTTTAAAACTTGTTAAAAATGTCAAGTAATTTAAAAATTTAAACAACTGTTTTCTTAACTTTTCCAAATATTTAATTTCAATTTTAGTATGTCTTGAAATTAATTGATAAACGGCACTGTAAATGAATTTGCATTTTAGTTTTACACTATTATTTTCATTTTTAAACATTTTATTAAATTTCTTTAGTAATTTTTGTTAAAGTGGTGAGCTATAAAATTTAAATATTAAAACTTTACTATAAGATTTAACTATTAAAACTTTACTTTATTAAAATTTATTAGCATGCACTTTATTTATAAAAGGATTTGTTTTAAGTCAATATCATGATTTTAAGTAAGTTTTAAAATTTGAAATGAGATAAAAATGTACTATATAAAATGTACTATATAAAGTTATTAAATTTACAAGGAAACTGAAACAAATGTTATGCAGACTTAGTTACTTAAAGTTACTTACTTTTGGTACTTAACTATTTTAAATTACAATAATGAAAATTTTGTATTACATAAGATTGTTTTCATATCACTTGATTGCTATATTTATTTCGTGAATGTATATAAGGCATATATAAAGGCATGTATTTCTTATATATAGAGATTAGAATATAATCTATTATTGCGATATTAATTTTTCAAAATATGATATTCTTATTACAATGAAAATAAATATTTAAAATGTAAACTAAAGTAACCATTTCTATTTGTTTTGCAGGCTATCCTTTTCGCAGCTCTTATTGCTGTGTCCCTTGCCCAGCACTATGGAGCTCCATCTTACGGCCATGAAGAGAAGTATCCTGTAAGTAAATTTTTGTATCATGTTAGTAAAATGTCGTATTATAGAAAACGATTATTATACATTATAAGGTACAATAATATGATTATGAAAGATTATCATAGAATCTCAAAACTTAAGAATGTTTAAGAGAACATTTGTAAGAATATTTCATGACAACAGTGTGAAAGAATGCAAAGAAAACAAAATAAGACAAAAATAAAATAATTTAAGTAAAATAGCATGTAATGTATAAAACGATTTTAAATAATAAAAAATATTTTTCTAATTCAGCAGAAAAATTTATTTTAGATATTTAGTTCTGGTGTAGGGTCGTAAGATATCGAGAATTATATTATAAACTGTAAATGTATTACTATTTAACTTCAATATGAAGAGAAAACCTTCCAGGAATTTGTATTACAATTAAACAGAATAATGCTTAAAAATATAAATTGTAAAAAGTCAATTTAAATAACGAAATAAAACCATGCATAAATTACTGGCTTTTTTGAAAATGTTTTTGCAAGAGGATCATCATTTTTCTGAATTTATGAAAATTAATAAGCTTAGGATCTAAAACACTATTTTTTTTTTTCTTATTTAACTTGAAATTTCAAACCCTTTATTCTATTGAAGTGTGAATATAAATCAAACAAACTTTAAAAATCAAAGTTTCATTAACGATTTTTTCTTATACTCTTATTTTTAAAGATTTATTTAGTCTTTTTTTCTAATTTTAAAATACAAGCATACATTTTTTTTATTTAGTTCTTGCTAGAATTTTGAACCTTTTTTTATAGTAAACTTCAGAAACTCGCCAGATTATATTAAACTACAGTTTTTGGCTCTACGGCAAGTTCCTGAACTAAGCAATTGAAGAAACAAATATTTCATAGAGTATTGGGTTATTCTTCACGAAAATTTTACACCCTTTTTTGTAAAAGTCGCTAAATTACCAGGTTTACGATAATTACATAATTTCTATTAAAATATATCAGCTATAACAATATTTTATATTTCAGCCCCAGCCATATGACTTCGGTTATGAAACCAATGATGACTATGGCACCACCACCTTCAGAAAGGAAACTGGGGATGGACATGGACGAGTTCAAGGCAGTTATGGATACAAGGTAAAAACATTTCTGATATATTAAATATATATGCATTAAATATAGATATATTTGAATAACTAAATATGCATTATTAAAATTATTACCAGCTTACTTTAAAAAAATTTAAATGTTATTTTATTAAACTTAACAAAAACGCCCTTCCGAACTTTTAAGACCAAAATAACGAAAGCGTATAAGGCTGTTAGCTTAAGCGCTATTATTATGTATAATAATTAGCCATATAATAGCGAACAATAGCTTACGTGTCTTAAGATAAAAATATCATTTTTCGATTAGTAGCCGGAAAAAAAAACGATTCTTTTTTTCCGCGTAACTTTGCTTAGCTAAAATAATTAATAATGAATTTAATTTGTTGCGTTTTATATAAATATCTGCTATTACTATCAAAGTTGTAATTTTTAAAATCTATTTTTAATCGTTATCTATTAAAACCAAATATTATAACATTAATTATTAGAACGGATGTATAATTTAGCCTATAATACATGATAAAAATAGGGATTTTACTCTTCAAAATAATTCTAAACGGAAAAAAAGGAAAGAAAAATTGTTTACATAAATTCCAGGCGGAAAAGAAAAAACTATTGATTTACATTAAATATAGTTTACAAAAATATTGAGAATAAGAAGTTTTTTCAAGCTAAAATACTAAATAAAAAGCATTAATGAAGATATTTGCTTGAAATTTTTTTTTCAAACGTCTCAATACAGTAATCCCAAAACTTTAAAGTAAGATTTAAAAAAAATACAAATCATAATATATACGTAGCAATAGTTTCATATTTAATTTAAGTGATTAATTGGTTGATTCAATTAATTAATATAACGAATTGTAATAATTTTACTATCAATTGGTTTAATTTTTAGGATCTTCACGGAATTGAACGAGTTGTAGAATACGTCGCTGATGAGCACGGTTACAGAGCTCAGGTCAAGACCAACGAACCAGGAACTGAATCCCAAAACCCCGCTGACGTCATCCTCGATGCTAAACCCATCCACGTTGATGCCCCATCTCATGGATACAGCGCTCCAGCTCCCCAATACGCTCCACGACCACACTATGGTGCCCCTGCACCCAGATACGCCCCATCTTACCCAAGATACTAGATAGTTTATTCTTAATTCTGTCCAAAGCGCACTTCTTTTAATGTAAGTATTACTTATTGTTTTATTTTTTACTAAAGTTTAATAATGGAAATATTTTTTTTATGTTATGAACTGCTGTTACGAAAACACTTATTTTCCGCATTCATAGATCATCAGGTTTTGTTAATATTATAGATACATTGCTAGTTCAAAAAAAAAAAAAATTCACAGGAAAAATATGCCACTTTTTGTTTAATAAAAAACAGATATTGAATGATACAGTATGAATTGGAGATTTAATTGCTCTAAATGAAATTTCTTTCTAATTAATGCGATAATGGTATTTAAATTGGATAATTAATTATTTAAAATTATTACTAACCTTAATTTTACATTCGATTTTTCTTTCTCTATGAATGTGGAAAAAAAAACAACTATCGATGAGGTGGAATTTTAAGTATTCTTTTTGTATAATAGTATAAAAGTTTATAAAAATAGTTATATGAATGCTACACTGAGAAAAAAAGTATGGTCAAAATTTCCAGAACTTGGTAAAATTTACCGTGTTCCTTTCACTTCCGAAGTGCTTTTGTAATGACTTATGGTAAAATTGAAATATTGTTTTCTTGCCATGCTCTGAGGTATGCTGCTAAGCGTGGTAAGACTTGTTAATTTTATCATGTTACCTTAGAGCAGAGCATAAAAACCATTTATTCGGATAAATTTATTTATCAGTTTTGTATTTTTACAAAATGTGTGGTAATAAGAACTATAATATAAAAGCATCTTTAATATAAAAGAAATATAAAAGAACTATAATATAAAAGAACTATAATATAAAGGAACTATAATATGAAAGAACTATAATATAATAAACAATATAGATAAAAGCATAATTTCTGGTCATTCATAACAATACGAATGAAATAATTAAGAAACCAATAGTTTAAATAACCTATATTTTAATTTTATTACCAGAATTGTTTTTTTTTTCACCAGAAATATCATTACCATACTAGTATATTAATTTTATCATATTTTGTTTTTGCTCCGTGTGCCAATCCCTTAAAAGTTTCGGAAAATATCTCTTTATTGCATATATTTCGAATTTTTTACGTAAGTTTCTGTAACTACAATCATATACAGTACTAACTACGATCATATAATAATTACTGCATGTATTTTTATGCCTTCAAATATTCCACATATTTTAATAATCTCTATTTTGAAATGCAGCAAATAAAATTAATCTTGAACTTTTATTTAACTGTTAAAAATTCAATTTTTCCAATAATCGAGATAATGATATAGTTATCTTCTATAAAGTAAATCTCAAACGACAATTTCAAGTTTGAGCGAATTCATGTAACAAATTCAATGTTTTTCAAGATCAAATGTAGCAATTATTTATTTAAAATCAGCATTATTTTATTAAGAATCTGAATTTTCGTAAAAAAGTTTGTTTTATGTCATAATATTACTATTCTTAAATTAATTCATTCTTAAGTTACACAGGAATTGCTCAGTCAATATTTCTTTCAAATCTGATATTTAGAAATGTTAAAACTATTGTTTGTATTGAAAATTTGCTTCTTTTTCAGGTAACATTTAGGAATGGCTAATTGTTGAACATATCTTTTTCTTCCATTGCCAAACTTTATTTTTCTCAGGACATCTGGGAAGTTTTTTCTGGTCTTGCTCAATAATATTGTACCTGCTTAATTTTCTTTTTTTTCCCCACAAGTCCTATATTGCTAATAGGATTGTACAGAGCTTCTTCATGATTTTCTTTCTTTTTCTCCTTCCAAATACATATTTATTTTCTTTTGGATCAGCGACTTTTTTGCTCAATTCTAGTTCTTCTGTCTTTTGAATGTTGTTTATTTATTGAGAATGAATGTTGTTGCTTTTTGTTAAGTTTTCGTTTAAATAAATTGTTTTTAATAAATTTCGTTTTTGTCTTTTTTATTTACTTGTTTACTTGACTTAATTAGTTTACTTGACTTAAAAATTTTACTTAGCAAATAGCCAATTGAATATCTTAAGAAATGTGTTTAAACCTGAATGAACTTCACTTTGTTACATATAATTCTAATATTTAACTTTTTAAAAAAAAAATTACTTCGCTAATTATGCACGTGAAGTGTTTAATAAAAGTAATTTCTTAAAATATCAGAACGCGAAAACATGTAATTTGAAAACTTTAAGAAGACAAAATGATTTGAACACTTTAAAATTAATTCTGTTATTACAACCTATTTGTTACAAAAATATTCCCTCATTGTTGTTTGGCGCTGTTGCTTAGACTTTACATCAGCCCAATGTTTTGAATGAAAGAAATGGTCAAAAGCTGACCCCCTACAGTTTCTCCAGATGGTCAATTCAGAAAAGGGTTTAGATTAGCTTTTTACACTATTTCACCAAACAGGTGAAATTTTATCATACATTGCAAAAAGACAGAAAATTTTCTGAATTTTTTTTTTCTGGTCAACTTATGAGGGTTTTATAATAGAATTTCATACGAGGGTTCTAGAATAGAATTTTAGAATAGAATACTCCTGGACAAAATTGACTTATTTCAGTGGTCAACATACAAGATAGACAGGGGGTCAAGTTACAAAGGTTTTGCTTCTTTATATTATATAGGAAAAATTCCGTTCTTGATAATTGAGGTCAATTTATGCAGGTGTCCAACTTACAAGGGTGGTCAACTTAGCAGGTTTCACTGTAAATTTAAAGAAATGTTCTCTTAAATTTTAAATGCCATTAAAAATAATGTTTTTCATTGAAGGTAATGAACAAACTACTATGGAATGAATTAACAAATATATCTTTTTTTTGTGCTCTTAATAAAAGTAATGACAAAAAATGGATAACTTTAGCAAATAAATAAATTAAAATAAATTGATTTTACTAAATTTTGTCTTTTTCTTTTGTTGTGTCTAAAAATTCAAATAAAATCGAGTGAACCTACATGAAAGAAACATTGCTCTATTTAACTTTTCACAAAACTTAATACTCATATATATTTAAGGAAACGTACTATTACATTAGAAACTTTTTTTTTCAAAATGACGAAAAAAATATCGTAGAATTAATTAACAAATATTTTTCGTTGTGTTTATAATTGAGGATAGAGCCCTTGCCTTCCAATAAGGTGAACCGGGTTCAAATCCCATCAATGGCTGGTTGATATAGACTCCCATCCGGTTTGCACCGACCACAGTGCTGACTTAAAAATATTCTCAGTGGTAGAAGGATCATGGGCTAGAGTCCCATTTCCGTCAGGCTAACCGTGGAAGATTTTCGTCGTTTTACTCACCATGTAACGCAAATGTGAGTTAATTAAATCAAAAAGTCCTTCACGAAGGCAAATTTCTCCCAATACTTGATCCAGGAGTTCTGTTGTCTTCTGGATTGGGTTCAAAATTACGAAGCTACGGAGTTAAACATTAGTAGTCGTAAACCCCAAAAAATTAGATCTGCTCTTCAACGATGGTTACATTATAAAAATAAAATGACAAAAACTAGATAATTTTGTTGGCAAATTAAATACTTTAAATATTTAAATAAAAACTTAAATAAATTATTTTTGATAAATTTTATCTAAATTTATTAAATTTTATCTAGTTTTTTTTTAATCTAAAATTTCAAATAAAATCGAGGGAACATATAATAAAGAAACATTGCTTGATTTAACTTTTCACAAAACTTAATATTCATGTAAGCTTAAGGAAGCGCTCGAACTTTAACATTTTAAAAGGCATTAAGATTTTTTTTCATTGAATGTAATTAAGAAACAAAATATTATCGAATGTTCTTTATTCGTCCAATGCTCTTTATAAATAAATTAATGATAAATAGGTACTTTTGGCTTCAAATAAACTACACTGACGTCACTTTTAAAGTATATTAATAAAGTAATCTGGATTAAAATTCAAAATATCAGTAGCAAGGTGCTTTAAAAATACGATAATGATATCTAAGAGCATGGTAATGACAGTTTAAAACAATTTCATTTGGAATATGGAAAAATCTACGTTCATGACAGCAGTCTATATAAGTAAAATAACATCACTGAGCATCAATGTATCGCCAAATATCATTTGCAATTACACAGAAAAAATAAAAAGAATATAATTAAAAAATAATTAAATAATAAAGGTACATTTGTTGCTAATTTTTCCTTAATAGGAAATTCGGTATGTTAAACAAACATAAAAATCAGGAATTAATAAAATAAAACAATTACTATTTTTTTAAAACCTACATTAACTGTTTTCAGAATATGACTCATATAAGGATATGTTCGGTAACATAGCCTGAAAAGTGTGGATATTTGCATAAAATTCACTCTAATGTACTATATTGTACTAAAAATACTCTATACTATACTATAAATACTTTATATATTATACTATTTTATTTACTATACTACTATATATCTTTATTTATTTTATTATGTATACTCCAAAGCACTGAAGTATAAATATGAAAGTTAGAGATCAAAAAACAAAATATTGAGGATCACAGATAAATGAAGAAATTGAAACTGAGAATATTCCAACTCTTACAAACATAATTTGTGGGAAAGCTTTTTTTTGTTAAAGTTTTGAACAACAACAAGCTATTAAAAAACAAACCTTAAGTTGAAAGTCTTTTAAAATTATCTGAAAAAATTTTAATATTTGTAACTACATTTAAAAAAATATATTTTTTAACTTTTGAAACGATTTGCATATAATTTGATTTTTGCTTATTTTTATAAGTGTAACCTATATAATCTTTCTAATAAGTACTAGAATTTATTTTTCCTATAATACGAATTTTGTGTAATATGTAATTTTTAGCAATTAACTTAGTCAGAACACTTGACCAGACAATTTGTCTTCGCTTAAGTTTTGAAATAAAAATTAATTTTGGTTCGTACGTTTCTGCATTTTATTCGATGAGATAAACGAACTGAAAATTTAATGTTTCTTGAATTTGAAAAGGTATTGGAATTTTTGAAACAAATTTGTATAGAAACTTGTTGTATAGTTGTATATATATATATATATATATATGGGTCATTCTCACAAGAACAGTCATTTTCACGTCCCCAGTATATTTTATGTTTGTTTTACAGCTTACGAAGAAAAAAAATTCAAGGAAAGTGTCCTTCAGAATGCAAGCTAACAAAAGAATAAAAATAAAATTATCAATTTTTATTTTTTATTTATTTTAGGTAATTAAAATATACCAATATGTCATTCCCTCACTTGTCCCCACTGCTGATTTAAAAAAAGAAAAAAATTGTTTCTGAAATAAGANCATTTGTGTGAGGAGCACTAAAAGGTTTTTTGAAACGGAATAGAATAGAACACGTTAAGCAATAAATATTAAGTAATAAATCACGTAAAAAAATCACAGTTAAAAAGAAATAAATCACGGATGAAAAGAAAAAAGTTTAAAAAGGAAAAAGAAAAAAAATTTAAAAAGGAAAACGAAAAAGAGACTAAAAAAGAAAAAAAAAAAAAACAAAAAAAAAGCAAGACGAAGCATAAAACGAAATCTATAAGGCGAGTAGCGAATTCAAATAAACTTACGGGAACGGGAAATATTTCAAAAATGAAATAAAATATTTTCTGCCGGATTACAAAGTATGAAAGATGAAGCGCAAATTGACGTAATATTGTATCGATTGTATTATTCCATTGTATTTATATCTTTTGCTTCGGCTATATTGATGCAACATTACTCTTTCTTACGTAATTTTCGTTTTCACTTTTTTCACTTTCTATTTATTTTCCACACGTTTTATCTACATTTTGAGCATATTTTATGAACAGCTTATGCACCACAGTAAATTATTGATTATCTTAATCAACACTTATTATCTCAATCTTCTTCGTTTTTCTCTTTTTGTCCTTTTGTTATATATATATTATATATATATATATATATATATATATATCAAGAACTGTGAAAAATTTGCTTTCGTGGAGGACTTTTTTGATGGAACTAACCCGCATTAGCGTTACATAAAGAGGAAGACCAGGAGAACCTCCCACAGTTAGATTGACGGCAAGGGGACTCTAACCCGTGATCCGTCTTCCACTGAGGATATTTCTCGTCAGCACCGTGGTCATTGCAAGCCGGATGCGAAATTCGTATCGACCAGCCATGTCTGGGACTCGAGCCCGGTTCACCTCATTGGAAGGCGAACGCTCTACCCCCTGATTAAAGTGCACAGATAATTTAAATATATAAAAACTTAGCATTCTTTTAAAAAAAAATTCCAAGCTGGAGAGATTTTTCCCGTAAGATGATTAAAATCAATGAATAAATCTCGAAATTTGTAACTTTTTAAATACCAAGCAATGCAAATGTGGAGTTACTTATATAATACTGAAATATATTGAAACAAATTTATTTTGGATCAAATTTAGCAAAAATACCGGCACTTTGGTTTCCGGTACAATTTTGCCGTCTACCGTACTTTTGAATGAATGAATCTGATCTGCCGTAATTTTTACAGAAGTATTTACTATAAAACTATTGAACTTTTCTCATAAAATAAATATTTCTGTAAAAAATATGATATAAAATTTTACTGTAAAAATGAATTTTACACTAAAATTCGTTTAATGGATGATGCACCTGAAGTGCCAATACTTTAACTGTAAATTCTCTCGGAAATTTTTACAGTTTACTTACTAGATAACAATTGTTTATTATTCTCGCAAAAATTTGTCTTTTTCGCAAAAATTTGTCTATTCTCATTTTACACCATTTTAAAAAATCAGCCTAAAATGGTACCTATTACGATTATGAATAGTTTTTATGATTCCTCAAATAAGGCATTGTATATTATTATTTACCATAAATATATAGCATATTATCAGCTAGCATGAATATATAGCTTATTACAAATAAAATAGTCCATTGTTAATTTAAAAGCACTGT